AAAGAGTGTATGTGGAATTTGATTTCCTGAATGAAGCAGAGAATTTTATTATGTATGTGTAGACAAATATCTGTTCATCTTTGTCTGAAACATCAATAATGGTTACTTGATGGATCAAAATAATGGATTTCATTCCTTTAGGGCAAAAGGACTTTTCTATGGCCGATTATAGATGAGTCCAGTCCAATGGTTTAGTTATTGGAAAGATGCTACCTTCCAACTTTCTCATTTGAATATACATTGACCTTATGAAGTATTCATCTTTGTCAATATAGGTTGGGGGTTCACCTGCATCTTGGAAATGCTCTGAAGAATTCTTTTCTCGTCAAATTAAGAATCGAGATCCCCTAAAAATAGGGTTAGCTCGCTACTTCGCTACTTCTGATGCTTTCATTTTTATCTTATTATGATATATTTAGTTTCTCCTTTGGTTCAATTGCGTTCTTGTCGTAATATTTTCCTTAGACTTGCAGTTTTTCAAACATCTGGGCTTTACGATTAGTGCGCCATCTGTTACATTGGGATCCAGTAAGTTAATTGCCTGATTAAAACTTGAGTCATGGATTTAGTCTAAAACGTACACTTTACTGTATATCCGCCAGGGGCCTCACCCCTCAAAAAGAAACATATTCGGCTAATAGTAGCCGTGTTTAGTTGGATACTGCTGTATCTAATCAAGGCTTGTGTTTAAACTGAAGGAGGATCGGCCAAGTATTGATGAGGCTCTGCAACATCCTTATTTCCAGCATCCCCCGAGAGAATGATTTTATACAACATAATGACAGTGTCTTCCCCATCGATTTATTCATTCGCAGGTAAATAATCTGGGCCACCAATTTACTGATAGCTTATGTTATAAGGGATCGTGAACTATGGGATGCCTAAGTCCCACATCGAGTAGTATGGGATGCTCGTGAAGTACTTAAGTGTCTTGGTTCCTCCCCTCAACAGCTAGCTTTTAAAGAAGGGTTCTCCAAGTGCTTATTTCATGATAGCTTATGTTATAAATGTTGCTGAAATAAGTTAAAAGTTAAAAAGAGCTTATGGGAGTCATAAGTCGTTTTCATAAATCTGAAAAAACTGTAGAAACTCTTCCAAATGCCCCCTTGATAAAAGTCAAGTAAACATTCATTTTAGTCCTTAAAATTACAAGTAAACCTTTAGACTTTAGCTTTATAAAATCCTTATTTTAGTCTCATTTTACAAAATGTTATTCACTTTTTTTTTTAAGTTAATATATATTTTTGTTTGTGCAATGTTAGAGACTAAAATGAGGGTTTTAGAAAGTTAAGGATTAAAGTGACTGGCACCCACAATCTTATGGTGTGTTTGGATGAGGAATTTTACAAATTCAAGAAATTTTAAATTCTTAGTATATGAAGTATTTTGATTTCAATTTCTATCATTCTTAAAATACTTTATTTGAATAAGTTAATTCAAATTTCTTAAATTTTAAATTGTCAAGTTGGATATGATAATTTGATTCTATCATGGTAAAATTGATTTTAAAAATATATTTATATGTTGATATTTTTAAATTAAATTTTATAAAAATAAATATTAGCTAATTTTTAAATATTTAATAATTTTAAAAATTAATATTAGATAATATATAATAATTTTAAAAATATTTTTGAATATTCAATAATTAAAAAATGAAGAGATAAGAGACATGATAAAATATATAAGTGAAATAAGAAGAAGAAAAAATATGAAGAATTTCAAATTCTTACTTTTTTTTTAAGAATTTCAAAATTTACTATTTCAAGGAATTTTACAAATACTTGAATTTCAAATTCTTTATAAATTTTTCATCTAAACAAGGTATTTTACCTTAAAGAATTTGAAATTCTTCAAATAAATAGATTATTCTATTTAAATTCTCTATCCAAACACACTATTAAGGATTTAATTGGGAGTTTTAATTGGATTCCGTGTCTTCTATTACTGAACTCGTCCCACTTAACAGAAACAAATGCTGGAGTAAAAGGGCACAATAAGTTACTATATGTATCCATTTATTTGGGTTAACTTTTTCATACATACTTTTAGGGGAGAAAATAAGAAGAAAAAATGAAATGAATTTTTCATAAGTAAATTAACTTATGTATAAGTTAATTTGTAGAAATTTTATCTTATTTACTTCTTCAAAATCTTATTTTTAATTCTTGCATAACTAATTTTAACTTATGAAGATTTTTTAAAAAATTCTGTCTATTTTTCTCTCCTAAAAAGTGTTTTTGCACAAGTTTATACAAACAGGCCCGACAAGTATGATGCCAACACAACTGACCGTGCCAAAAATACAAAAAAATTGACCACTAACAGGTGCCAAAATCCTATGATTGACCCCAAGGACCAAATAAGCATCGGATGCTTGATATGTTGGTAACTTGGTGTTCCTTTGTCTTTTTTTATTATTAAAAATAAATGAATTACAGGACATGAGAGAGCGGAAACGATATCAATGACTGGTTCTGCAAATATTTATTCATTTTTGTTCTCCCTCTGGAAATGGAAAGTTTTGAATGAACTTTGCTTTTTTACCTGTATCATGATAAACTACATTACACAAAAAGAACATTTTTTTTTCGTGTACGGCTTGAAATAAAGAATAATGTATCAATCCTTAATTTTGGTTGGTTGACTCGTTCTTAATGACTATTAGTTCATGTCATTCCGTTTCCTTCTGTTGTGATGTCATGACATTATGAATGTATTGCCTTTTCAAGGACATTGAAAAACGCTGAAAATCTAGCGGGTAGCATCAACATCGTCTGTAATTTGCTTGGAAGCTGGACTAAAGATGAATTTCATTAAAGATGAATTTTAATGAAATTATTACACAGATAGATCGATACTGCCTCTGCTTCGAACAGTGTTTACGGCACATTCGGCCAAAAGTAACGAGGATGAGCCCAGATGGGGATGCCATATCACGCACAGATGCCTTCAGTTGTCAAGCTTTTGAAATTTTTTTGGGAATGAAGGACCAAAATATAAAGCATTTGTGCAGAGAGAATACGGCTTGGTGAAAAATCTAACATCAATTCACGTCATACGCATTTGGTTTTAAGTATCCAATACAGTACAATACTTGTATTTTTATTATTATTAAGGTACAGATATGACAATATATATTAAATAAAAATTTCCTTGTATATCCATGCACCAAAAAAAAATAGATTATTAAGAGTTGTGACCACCTTACCAAGTATACCGGTCTTGTAATCTTAAGTTCACACTGCAACACCTCCACTCTGCCATTTTCCCCCACGCTTATCATCAATGGTTGCCATGGTAATAGTTTATTTGCTTAATTGGTAAGAATGACAATATGCTATTTCAAGTTATAATTCTGAGGAATGAGATTGTAAATGCTGAGGGATGGAGGTTGTATATGATTTTTTTTAAAGATCATTTATTGAAAATGTCTGATGGCATTTTCAAAAGCACGAGCAAACGGTGCTAAAAAAGAATCACTAAAATAGTGTACACGTAAATAAACAAAATTAGGCACATGCTCAAATTTAAGTTGTTAAATATATTAGCAACCTTGAACTACAAATATTAAGAAATCTTGATATAGTCTTGGTTATTTTTACACCTTTTCGTCTTTCCTTTGTTATCCTTTTAGATTGACACTTGGTCACCAACAACTTAAATTTGAGATGAACCAAAACAACTTAGCGAATTTGAGTAAAACAATATTGGGGCATAGAAACGGCAGAAACATATATAAGTGGAGTTGTGCTACCTAACGTAACTAATGGCTTGGTTTTAAGAGAAATTTTAAGCTACTTCTATAAATTTGAGGGATTTTGGAATCGTTTATTTTTAGACTTGTTCTTACATAAAAACATGCTAGAAAAGACTTAAACATTATCCAAGTCTGAAACATTTAAAATTTAGTCAGTGTAATCTTTGTCTCAAACTTGAGAGTCTCTTATTATATATATTAAGTTCATGTTTGAGATTAGAGCTAATCTTTTATCTATTACCACCAAATCTATAAGTGACATTATATAGTTATTATTCTTAAATGGTTTCAAAAATCATGTCATTTATGATTGTTTCAATTACATATTATTGATATTATACAATTTCACAAATTGTGACGTCTTAATAACTCATATTATGTAGTGTCTCCAAAATGGCAAGACACATCTACCACTGTAAAACTATCGATCTATCATTGGACGTGACATCTTCACAACACACATCACAAAATGTCATCCAAATGCTGAAACACAATCTTGGGTTGGCTTTTTGACGACCCAAATGATACATAACCCCCAAGCTCAAGTGCATAACGATCTTTTGGTGGATTAGATTTGTGATGATCTATGCATTGACCTGTACGATGCACTCGCAAATTGCGACTTCTTCATGGAATACTTCGTAGAGTGTCCTTCACATGTCGAGATAATGTGTTGATGGTAGAATTTCATACTCTTGGGTGTTGTGCCTTCATAACATATGCCGCTGAATTTCCCTCAAATGTCGAGACGTAGTCTAAGGTTAATAGTGTGGCAACCCAAACGATACATAATGCCCAAGGCTTAAGTACATGAGCACGAAGAGTCTCGTAGTGAAGAGTACTTCGATGATTTCTTTGTGGATCAGATTCTTGGCGACCTATGCTTCAACCCGTACGGTACACAGTCCCAGGCTCAAGCATGAAGGTGACAAGAGCTTTTTGTGGATCAGATTTGTGATGATCTATGCATCAACCCATACGGTACACTCGTAAATTGTGACTTCTTCATAGAACACTTTGTATAGTGTCCTCCACTTGTCGAGATACTGTGTTGATCATGGAATTTCATACTCTTGTTGTGCCTTCACAACATATGTCGTTGAATGTCCCTCAAATTTCGAGACACAATCTAAGGTCAATAGTGTGGCAGCCCGTATGATACACAACCCCCAGGCTCGAGTACATGAGCACGAAGAGTCTCGTAGTGAATAGTACTTCAATGATTTCTTTGTGGATCAGATTCTTGGCGACCTGTGCATCAACTCGTACGACACACAGTCCCAGGCTCGAGCATGAAGATGACTAGAGCTTTTGTGGATTGGATTTGTGATGATCTATGCATCGACCTGTACGGTACACTTGCAACTTGCAACTTCTTCATGGAACACTTCATAGAATGTCCTCCACATGTCGAGATACTGTGTTGATCGTGGAATTTCATACTCTTGGGTGTTATGCCTTCACAACATACATCGCTGAATGTCCCTTGAATGTTGAGACATAGGCTCAAGTCAATAGCGACTCGGATGATACACAACCCCAGGCTCAAGTATATGAGCATGAAGAGTCTCGTAGTGAAGAGTACTTCAATGATTTCTTTGTGGATTAGATTCTTGGCAACTTGTGCATTGACCCGTACGATAAATAGTCCTAAGCTTGAGCATGAAGGTGACAAGAACTTGAGTGTCATCACATTTTCTGTTAGTGTGGATAGTTGGCCAAATGGAGACTAGTACAACATAACCCCCCAAGCTTGAGCATGAATCTGTGAAGAATCTAAGTGTCGTCGTGTTCTCTATTGGTGTGGATAGTTGGCCAAAGGAGACTATTACAACCCAAACCCCCAGGCTCAAGCATAAAGGTATGAGGAGCCTGAATGTCTTCGTGTTCTTTGTCGATGTAGATAATCAGCTACAAGGAGACTGATATGCTTGCAAGTATTAGGAATGGTGTTAACATGACCAATGAAGAGTTTGGACCCATGAAATAGAGTACGCCATTACACACAATTAATGAGGCTATAGAGTAATTATGGGGGTTGCATCCAATATTTCTCTTTGGTGATATTAGACTCTTCGAATATAAAGTGTAGAAAATTTATCGAATATCCTTTAGTAGTTGTAATCGTATAACACTTGACAATGACTGTCGTTCAAATGTAGAGTATGTAAATAAACATTAGAACATGTCATGCTAAAATATGAGAATTCTTTGTAATTCTTATTGAGTTTGTGTAACATGATCATGTATCTAACTATGAAGGGTTTAAGATTGTGTGGTAACCCATAGTGGCAACCCCCACATTACATTAAGTAAATAAGTACAACAAGTTTTTCATGCCTTGTACATTGGCTTGACGCCTTAAGATGTTCTTAGCGTTAAGGTTTATAATCATCAAAATTTTGACCTTAAGACGTTTTTCATGCCAATGTTTATAGTTATCAAAATCTTGATCTTAAAACGCTATTTAAGTCAAGGTTAGTAGTTATGAAAATGCCAACCTTGAGACACTCTTCACGCAAATATTTATAGTTAGCAAAATTTTGACTTTAAGGTGTTCTTCACGCTAAGCTTAATAGTTATGAAAATTCCAACCTTAAGACACTTTTTATACGAAAGTTTGTAGCCATCAAAATTTTGACCTTAAGACACTCTTCAGGCCAAGGTTTATAGTCATTAAAATTTTGACCTCAAGATGCTCCACACTAAAGTTTGTAGTCATCAAAATCTTGACATTAAGAAATTCTTCAGGCAAAGGTTTATGGTCATCAAAATTTTGACCTTAAAATACTCTTCACGATAAGATTTGTAGTCATTAAATTTTTGATCTTAAGACGTTATTCACGCTTAGGTTAATAGTCATCCAAATTTTGACCTTAAGATGATCTTCATGTCAAGGTTATAAGTCATTGAAATTTTGACCTTAAGACGTTTTTCACATTAAGGATTTTTCTTTTTGTTGTCGATCTTAAAATGCTTTTCACATAAAAGATTTTTCTTCTTGTCACCAACCTTAAAACGCTCCTCACGTTAAGGATTTTTCTTCTAGTCATCGACCTTAAAACACTCTTCGCATCAAGAATTTTTCCTCTTATCGTTGACTTTAAAACACTCTTCATATCAAAGATTTTTTCTTTTGTTGTTGACCTTAAAACACTCTTCTCGACAAGGTTTTTTTCTCTTGTCGTTAACCTTAAGACGCTCTT